TCTCAAGTCGCTCCTGACACACACAAAAAAGTGTTGGAATACCACAACTAGATGTACCCATTTGTGGGATGAAATTGTGTGGTAAACTGAATAAATGCACGTAACACTCTGATGTCATACTGCATATTTTCAAATTCTTACTTTATGAGAGAAATTATGGTGAGTAGGGGGTCAACCACGAAGGTCATAATAAATGCCATGATTTCAAGATGGCATTAAGAGTTTCCTCAGCATCAGGTGCAGAACCAAGACACAACATTTTTCAGTGTTTAGAGAATCCACCAGTTTTAGTTTACACTTAAACATATTTTATAAGCTCTGCTTGTTGAATTTCACATCACATATAAATGAAAAAGCTCAGTTTGGGGAAACACAAAAGTGTTAGGCTTTCATGAGGAAAAACAACCATGACTATATAAAGTATATATTGAAAACATGAAAGTAGAGCCAAAATTATCCTGATTTCATGTAACTGGAACCCATTTCTACATATGTAAAAGGCTATAATAGAAGATGGGCCAAGGAAAAATGTTGTGTATATATCCATAAGCATTTTTTTTAAAAAGCACTAGCACAGGCATGGGCAAACTTGGGCCCTCCAGGTGTTTTAGACTTCAACCCAAAAGTTCCAGCCAGCTTACTGGCTGTTAGGAATTGTGGGAGTTGAAGTCCAAAATACCTGGACGGCCCAAGTTTGCCCATGCCTGTTCTAGCATATGATGGTGGTTTTCCTTTTTTAAAATCTATTTTGATTGAAATGTTTTAAAAATTACATTAAAAGTTAAAGAAGAGAATTAAGACAACAAGTATAGAATAGAAACACAAAAAGTGACAAGAAGAAAGAAATCAGAAAGAAAAATAAATGCTGGTCATTTTCAACGTATTGTCTTAACTGTTTTGACTTTACCTGGATATTCAGGGTAGCAAATTGTGAGTGGACTCCTCCTTATCTTTTCCTCAAACAGATCTTTCTTGTTCAGGAAAAGAATGATCGATGTATCTGTGAACCATTTGTTGTTACAAATGCTGTCAAAGAGTTTCATACTTTCGTGCATACGATTCTGGATGGGTGCGAGAGTAAGAAAGCAGATTGAGAAAGCAATATTAAAGCAAGTATAACTAGAACAAAGATTTAATGCAAATAACATGAATTATTAAATTAGATGCTTACAACAGAAAGTACTTTGACTAAATAGCTGAATTCCAATGCAAAAATATCAAATCACAAAAGATTCTGATTTTCCCATCTTTTAGTCATTACAGTTACAAAATCTGTCCCAGAAACCAAATTTATTTACTGCCAATGACACTGAACCTTAACCTTTCTGATATGATTAGACAGATTATTTTTTATTTTCCCTTGCAAACCAATAAAAAAAAGTTTCCATACTACAATACTTTGAAATCTGGTTATAATTAGTAATTTTAAGGTAACCATACAGCAAAATAAGTCATTTAACAAGCTATAAAAAAACTTCAAGTTCATTTCTATTGTTGTTCACATTATGATGAATGTAAATAGACAGACAGCAAAGTATAATGGTTTCAGTGTTGGAGTATGACTATGGAGACCAGAGTTCAAGCCCCTTCTAAAGCATGGAAATTTACTGGGTGATCTTGGGGAAGTCATACTCTCTCAGTTTCAATTAAGGTAAGGGAAAACCTCTTGTGATCAGATTTTGCCAAGAAAACCCAAAAGACAGGTTAGCCTGCAATAAGTTGGAAACACTGGGCTGCTGTGAGTTTTTCAGGCTGTATGGCCATGTTCCAGCAGCCTTCTCTCCCAACATTTTTTCTGCATCTGTGGCTGGCATCTTCAGAGGTAAACAACTCCACTTCAAGTTGGAAGGCACACAACAATAAGAATGTAAGTTATGGTTAGCTCTATGGCAACATACCATTTCTTCATCCTCAGCAAGAACAAGATCATAATCACTGAGAGCAACACAGAATATAATTGCTGTTACTCCTTCAAAGCAGTGAATCCATTTCTTACGTTCTGAACGCTGACCACCAACATCAAACATCCTGGCAGAAAGATAGAAGACGTGAAGATTATGACAAAATAAAAGTACTGTCTGCCTGCTCAGTGCCATCTAGAACAGTGGTTCTCAACCTATGTCTCCCCAGATGTTTTGGCCTTCAACTCCCATAAATCCTAATAGCTGGTAAACCGGTTGAGATTTCTGGGAGTTGTAGGCCAAAACACATGGGGATACACAGATTGAGAACCACTGCTTTAGAAGAACCTACACATGATGCTGAAATTCACATTAAATGTCTACAAAATGCTCACTTTCTAATCTTTTCTACTACAAGTAAACGTATGAGGGTTTTTGCAACAAAAGCTGAAATCAATAAATTAAGAGGCAAGTGAGACACAAAGACAACCAATGGCTGAATATACAATTTTAACTAAGAGGAGATGACGAGGGGCAAAACGATGAGATAAATGTCACTTATCTCCTTAGTAAAAATGTATATTGCAGAAGCTGGAAAACCAGTGATAAGGGAGGGCAAAATTTAATAATCTTAAGGAAGATTAGAGTAGCTAACTGCATATATATTAAACATTATCCAACCATATGCATAATTTGTAGATATTTTTGAAAGACATCTAGTGAAAGATAGAACTTTATTTAACTGCAATATTACATATTACTAGGAAACAGACTGAGAACTCTTAAGGGGCTCATGATTTAATATAATATAAAATGACTGCATCACCAAGGAAGTGATGCACTGTTTTTCAAAGAAGCATTAAAGGTATTTTTTTTACTTCCACATTTGTATCTCTATAATGTTGTAGCTTTTCTCTAACATCATCTCTTAAAATTTCAAGTTTCAACTATAAATGTCAACCATAAATTTCAAGTTTCAAATTCTGTAATGTGAATTCACACTTTCTTTAAATGGCAGAAAACAATGATAAAATAAAATTACAGATTGCTGCTGGAGTGCATTGCAAGAAGAGCACTACCATGGTGACATACTGATATTTCTCATATTCACTGTGGAACACAGAAGGACATTACTGAATGCATAAGTGGACTGTTATGCTTTAGCATCCTCTGTTTCCAAGCAGCAGAGTACACAAACAGCCTACAAGCATAATGTCCCAGTAGAAACTTTTAATTATATAATTATGACATAACAACTGCCCTATGAGATAAGTAATGCATTTTTACAATGCAGTTGCTGCAGTCAAGCTAAGCTGCCATGAACAGTTATATGCAGTAAAGTTTAAGTTTCCCTTTATTAGTTCTGTACAATACTGCAGCCAGCTAAGAGATAGCACATAAATTTATCTTATAAGAAAAATAACTTGAAAAGTCACCCAGTTGAAAGCCAAAAGGTCCAACATGCAGTCCATTCCCTCAAAGCCATCTCATTAAAATTAAGAGATACATCAACAAGAAATATTGCTTACGAATATCCCAACACTGTGCTCTAGAAATTCAATAAAATTAGTGTAATTCCCCTGTACAGAGAGGCAGTTATTTATAACATTTTTACAACTGTTAAAAAGTGCTTTGGCCTTAGAGACAGAACTCTTCATGCAGCTAAATTGTTTTAATGTAAGTAAATGGGTATGTAGTCACTATAGGAAGATGCACACATCACAAGCAGATACAGGTTGTTCTCACTACGGCCAGAAGCAGCAGTTTGCAACTGAGTGTAATAGTTACTCATTACTAAATTTGCAGAACTATTCTAGACATGTAATTGAATACATAAATGTGCCCACTTATATATGCTGACATGATGTGAGGGGCTCCACATTCCCTCACATTGCATACAGCAAGAATGAGATGGTCACAAGCACAGTAGATTTTTCCAATGTGCATCTGCATTCTTTTGCATCCCATCTGTTGTACAGGAGGCTATGTGATACACACAACATATCAAACAAATTGTAGCGCTCTCCTTGACTAGCTAGATCCAATCTGTCTGGTTGTATACATTAAACTCAAAAATGTAGCTTTTTTTCAAAAATTAGTTTGAAAAACATACCATATCATCTTTTTTGACAAGGAGTTTAATGATCCAAACAAATCATCCATCTATAAAATTTTCAGCTTTTATTAGATTGGGTAATAATAATATTTACAATGCCACCCCCTTATCCATGGACTCAATATTCAAGATTTCACTGACCCACATTCCAAAAAAAATCTTACTTCATTTAAGTGTTTGTGAGCCTCTCTATGCTCTGCAGGTCTAGTCAATGGCATGCTTTCTGCCTAAGTATATTAAAAATTTAGGGTTCACTGTTATTCATGGTTCCAGATATCTATCACATCTGTCTATGTGTGTACGTATCTTAGAACATATCCCTGTGAATATGGAGGGGGTGTCATACTTTACATTTGAATAATACTGCAGATAAAGGACATTTTCAGCAGATACTTCATATACTGGGAAGTCCAAGCATCTCAAAAAGAATGTATTATTATTTTACTCAAAAACACGTTTTTGTAAATGAGCAAAAGACACATGCTCATTTAAGTGTTTTTGCTTTAATAAAGAATTTGAAGTAGCAACTCCTACTATAGTCCTATTTCACATATAGGTAAGTATATACCTATAGGTAAGTATATACTCCAGGTAAGTATACTCAGTAAGCGGCCAAAGCAGGCGTGAGCAATTTGTGGCTTTCAACCTAATTTCAACTGATTGGCAAACAATCAGTTCAAACTCCTGGACAGGAATAATTTCTTCTTTCCCCAGCAGCCTGCTGAGAGGAATAACAGACAGAGAAGGAAAATATGGCAGAGAAAGGGAAAAAAGAAGTGGGCCCACCTCCTTCTGGCTCCACTTGGTGCCAGCTTCTTAATTAATTAAATGCCCTGTGAAAATTGCTGCATAGGACATACTTTCTCCAAAGAGCATGACAGGTCAAACCATCCTGTACTTGGAAGCATCAGAATTCATTGCCAGACAAATTCAAGTTTTTTTTTCAGCACAGTACAACCTCTGAATGAAGAGGCAATGCCACCCTTTGTCCCAGTGCTTGAGGATAGAACCAGCAGATGAGAAAACCGCTGGCACCGAAGACAGAACACTGGGCTGGCATTCCTTTTCCTCCAGTCATTACAGAACCAGGCATGGCAAGGCCTGTGCCTGCCAAGAAAAGGAGGCGTTACTCCCCAGAGAACGGGATCCCTGACAGAAAAGCAGTTCTTTGCCCTGTGTTAAGGAAGAGAGAAGAATTTGAAACTATTTGATTCACTGGGCAAGGTTAAAGATGCCGGTTATACTGCATTCATAGAGCACTTTAGCATGCCCATGTCAGTGTGTCTAATCGATATATGAGAAGTTAACATTATTCTAACATTATATATAAGGTACAAAGGCTCAGTTACAGGCCTAAACCAAACAGCTCATTTCCATCAAAGTAAACCCACCGAATAAATGCAGCTTTAACGTGTTAATGTATCAAGTTGCAACAGATTCAGTGGGCTCACACTAGTTGGGATTTAAGCCATGGTATTTTTATGTAAGGTTATTCTGTGACAGCAATTAGGATTCAAAGTCCAGGAACAAATTTAACATTACAGTTTGACCTTGATATCCTCAGGGGATATGTTCCCAGACTTCATATGGATATGCAAAATCAAGAATAATAGTGACCTCTGTTGAAAGGCAGTATTTCTGGTCCAAGGATTAGAGACAGAGAAGGAAAATATGGCAGAAAAGGGGAAACCTAGAACCTAGAAAATCCCTAGTTGGAGGTGGATGAAACCACAGATACCAGGTTCCTTGGACTGAGAGGTCATATTTTATTTTAGATTTTGCTATACCTTTATAGAATGCATTCATATCATAAATATTATCCCAATCAAACTGAGACCAAGTGTGATAAAAAGGCATGTGTAAGTAAGCCACATCAGTAGAAATCAAACCAGAAGTAGCAACTCACTTTTCCATTTTGATCAAAACTTTATAAAACATCAGTTTCTTCTATTACAGAGGGTTTGAGATAAAGCACTCTTGACAATTCTAGTGTAACACACACAATCAGTTCATCTAGTTCTATGGTGACAGGCAGGGAGGTTGTGGGCTTCATTGCATCCTCATGGCTGGCATGGAGGATAAGAAGTAGGGAATTCATACTGAAAGAGATACTGCTTAGGCCAGGCTGATTTTGTTGGTGTAGCCACATGCTTATAGAGAAGGTGTTTTACATTTTCCTCAGGCAGAATATCTAAGATTTATGAATTCCATGAATGATAGTAGCAATGCTCCCCACACACCATGAAATCTTACATTAAAAGGGCTGCGAGCATTATCAGTCCTAATCATTCTGCATGGCATCATATTTTACTATAATGTGAGACTTGACAGAAGATATGATAACAAAATAGTCAAGAGGTTTTAAAGGATAAACTTAATGAGAATGAGGCAGTGTCTATAAGAATCTCTTTAAGAAGGTGGTGAGAAATTACAATGGAGGAACACAGGTTTTAAGTCACCCGTGCTTGACTTAACTGTTTTATGTGTATTCCAATAGAAAATACACAGCTTCTGTCCTACATCAAGCACTAACAGTGGCAAGCATTGGAATATCTGTGCATGCTCCTTGACAATGTTTGGTACTACTAGCTGGTTAGTACTATCTCTACAGTGTTGCTGAGAAAGCCATGCACAGTTCAGAGAGCCACATTAATTTCAGCTCCAACTGGAACACAAGAAAATATATGGATGGCAAATTGCAAAATATTATGGTGGGCCTCTTATCTTCCAAGAAAAATTATAAAATAGTAGCCAGTATCCTTTTAGTATATGTGCTCCTATGAAGCAAGGGTTCGGTACCTGTGTCTGTGATCCCAACATAAAAGCAGCTGAAAAAACAAAATAATGAAAATAAAAAGGTGAACTTACACCAAGAATCTCTAACAAAAACAGAATTTAATGACAGAAGTATGTTGCATTATTTAAAGCCACAATCAAACTAAGCTTTTATCGCCCTGTGCCGAAGGAAAAGTGGTACATACTATAGCAAAGGAAACTGTTGTGACTGTAAAAAATGGCAGCCTTCATTCAGCCTTTCACATCTACTTACTTGAAGTACAAATCCTTGAAGGTGAAATGTGTTTCCACAATGCCTGTTGTTTTCACTCTGGTCCGAAGAACATCTTGCTGAGTTGGAATGTAGTTCTGCTGAGATATTCTGTCCAAGTCATTAAGGTAGCTAGAACAAGAAGTGGGTGGGCAGGGAAAGGATAGAAATACACTCAGAGTCTTTTCTTAAATCTTCTCATGCCACTAACCTCACTTTTAAAAAGTGGAGACAAAAGAAAAATATACTGATGCATCTATTAAATTGATTCAATGTCAACATATCAGTGTACAGGCTAAAATAAACTGGAGCATGTAATATATTTTGCGTTCTTCATGAAAGACTTACACGTGAGCTGCCTTAGATTTTTACAACTTGTAAAATGAGGAATCTATGTTTTTCGGCAAGACAAGCTGTGCACACTAATTCAGTGGTTTCAGAGCTGCCAGCAAATATAGTTTGAGACAAAACAGCCTTTACTAAGACTGTTGTTCTCTAGACTTTATTTGATTATAACTCCTCTGAGACCCAGATAGGATGGCCGATGGCCCTATTATGGAAACTCTGGTAGAAAGACATTTGCAAAGCTACAAGCTGCCCACTCAACATTTGGAATGTGAAATTCAAATAGCTCAGCAAAAATATTTTTGCTCTTTTTTGTACTTTCATGTACTTTTATGATCCTATATAAAAATAAAAACTGTAACAAATGTTTCTAAGGCATATATAAAAGAGTTGCAACTCAGAAACAATTAGTGGGCAAAAGGAAGACAACACAGACATATTGAATAGCATGTGACAGAGATTGGCAGGTATGTAAGCATCATCTAGAGCTCAAGGTATGCCCAATGCCTGACTTGCTGAGATAAAAGAAACCCCATGGAGATCACTAGGAAGGAGTTTACTGTAAGGCAGTGGTTAAGAACTGGAATGATTAGTTAAAGCCCTCAGCTAAAATCTCAAGTTCAGTCGCAAAGTGAATACTGTAGTTTTAAGCAGGCATTACTTTGCAGGCTGAGACATGTCATACCCATCAAGAGGCCTAAATTCAAATGCTACTGTAAATAATATAAACAACACCTTTCAAAAACATAGGATAAAGCTATATGAACAGTCAGTGTTAACATCATATAACTAGCAGATTCCCCACTGCATAAGGGAATTTTGCACAACTATGGCACAATCAATTTCACTCTAAAAAGACAGAATAATACTAATAAACTTTATTTATACCCCTCTACCATCTCCCCGATGGGACTCGGGGCGGCTCACAAATGCACTTTGAAGTGCCGCATATAAAACAGACAATACATAACATATAAAACAGGGACAGAAGTCTAAAAACAACTGTACACATAAACCACATATGGCAAAACTGTAAAATTCTTTAAAAAGGGAATCGATCCAAAGATAGAATAGAATCATAGTGTTGGAAGAGACCACAAGGGCCATCTAGTCCAACTCCTTGCCATGCAGGAACACCCAATTAAAGCACTCTGGAAAGATGGCCATCCAGCTTCTGTTTAAAAACCTCCAGAGAATGAGACACCCCACTTCAGAGGCAAAATATTCCGCTGTCAAACAAGTCTAATCACCAGGAAGTTCTTCCTAATGTTTAGGAAGAATAACTTTTCCTGCAATTTGAAACTACTGCTTTGTATCCTAGTCTCCAGAGCTTGACCCCTTCTCAGTAACACAGCATTTCAAATATGTAAACACAGTTAGCATTTCCCCTCTCAATCTTCTTTTCTACAAGCTAAACATACCCACCTCCCTCATAGGGCTTGGCTTTCAGACCTTTTACCATTTTGATCACCCTTCTACAGATACATTCCAGCCTGTCAACCTCCTTGAACTGTGCCCAGAATTGCATACAGTATTCCAGGGGTAGCTTGAACACCTAGTTCTTTCAAAGTCTAGATTTCTTGCCAGTTACTAAAAAAAATACTTTCTTTGCCATATGCTATGGAACATCAGCCCTGGCTTTGTCTTACTCAACTGCTGAGTATGCCTGCCCTGTTAGGAACAAGCCTGTCCACGTGAAGCAAGTGAACATAGCAATAAAGGAAACATGCAAAATAATCACAGGATGTCTTAAACTACACCTGTTGATAAACTCTACAAGCTAACTGGCATTGGTGCCACACACACTCCCCCCCCCCCCACTGTGTGATAGGAAGTTGCTGCTAACTGTAAGAGAAGTAATAAGAGAAGTAAGGTTGAACAGTGTGCATGGTTTTTCTTTGCAAGGAAAAGCTTCATGAGAACCACCACTCCCCTTAATGTTCCCCCAGCAAAAGTAAGAGTATGTCTCTGGGCAGCTAAACCAGGAAATCCCAAATGGATGGTCCTCACAAGGGTCTGCCTCCAGGGTCAAACCAAGAATGGGCAATTTGGAAGTCCCTGAACAGACTCAGAAGTGGAGTGGGCAGATCAAAAGACAACCTGGCAAAATGGCACTCCCTAGAAGAATCCTCCACCTTGTGCGACTGTGGAGCAGAACAAACAACTGAATATGTATGCTTGTCCACATTGCCCTGCTTCATATACAGATGAAGAACTGTTTAAAGCAATAGACAATGTGGCTGCTGTTGCCCATTTTTGATCAAAAATTATTTAACTGCTTGTGTTCCCTCTACTTTTATCAGTTTTATACTTACTTGTGCAATGCTTTTGACATGAAATAATAATATGCTATGGCATAACAGCTTAAATCATATAATAAAGAAGAGAGCAGGAGCACTGCTCATCATGGTTGACCAGATCATATTTACTCCATGAAAACATAACAATAGTATTTAATTTTACAGCAACCTTATGAAATAGATTAGATACTCTATGATTTCCTACTTCAACAAGGATTTCAATCCATTTCAGTACTGCAGTTTCTTAGCGAACTACATATTTTTATTGAAAACTTCCCCATTTCTCCCGCAATAGCTGCCCAAACACTAAGTCAACAAAACTAATTCAGAATATACTGTTGTGTGAGATGGTGGGTTTTTTTTTAAAGGCATATTTGTTGCTGTAGCTTCAGTGTTAACTGACCCCTTCCAAATTTCTTGTGATTACACTGAT